CCGGTGCCGGAGGGCGTGGGGGACTTGGGCACAGCACCAAAGCCTCCACGGGAGCCAGGTCAGGCCTGACACGCTGCCCTGGCTCCCTGCTGCCCCCAACTGCCCCAGAGCACCGTCCACACAAACGGCCCGCAAACCCCACTTCCACGCGGCACCGGGACGCTCACAGGCCGGGCGCTGCCCCCTCGCACTCGTCCCTCGCGGCGGTGTTCAGCAAGTCTAGCAGTTCGACATCTGTGCCGGTCCCTGCGAGCCGGCGGTGCTGGCCGACGGGCCCCGCTGCTGCCACACCTGAATCAGCAGACCCAGCTCCACGGTGGTGTCGCCCAGGGTACCTGACTCCACAACTTCAACAACTGTGGCATGTTGATAACCGAGAAATCCCTTCTGTCGTGTGCTGCGCAAGTTCTCGCTCTAAGGGCCAGGAAGGGATTCCGGAATCATCGCACACCCGCGCGGTGGGCGTGGCCTCTGAGCATCCGTGCTTCCGGAGTCCCTGCATCCTTGCAAGAGAGCCACCAAAACCCACGCCTCCACCAGAATCGCCCGATCAGAGGCTGGGGCGCCTGCTCGTCCAGTGTGTGACTCGGCCGAGAGTTAGAATCAAACAGAGATGCAGACGGTAGAGACTCAGCTGTCCTAGCCTGGCTGCCACGATGGTGATGCTACAGCCAGGCTCAAGTCCTTCCTCCCTGAAAGAAGCCAGGCCAGCCCCGCTCCTGCCCCCGCTGCCCGGCTGCTCTGCAACCACAGCCCCTTCCCCGCTTCAGAGCCGCTGCCCCGAGTGCTTCCAGCTGACTTCACCGGGCAAGCTGGGGACGGCCCTCCCTCTCCCCGGCAGCCTCCAGGGGGGCACGCTGTGGGCACGTGGCTACTCCCGATGCTAATCCACTCCTCCCTCCCTGTGCTCCTGTAGCTGTCACGCTGGCCCTGCCGGCTCCTCGCCCTGCGGTCATCACCCCAGGAGGCCTCGTGCCCATGCACTGCTCCCCGGGCCCATCACACCCCTGCCCTCCACGGCTGTTGGGCCTTCACACATGGACTGAGCAGCTTTCCCGCCTCAGTGCCCCTTGTCCTCCCAGCACATGGCACCCCTTCCCTTTATGCACCTGGGGAGTAAATGCCAGAGGACCCACCACCAGCCTGAGGCGTGGGTCTCTGCAGGGCTGGGCCCAGCGGCTCTTTCTTGACCTCGATGAGGGGGCGACCCAGCCTCCCAGGACTCCCCTGCCTGCCCCCTTCCTCTGGTTTGAGAAGCCTCAGCACCCCGTGGGCCCCAGGTCCTTTCCTGCCCACCCCCTCCCCCTCCCCCCAGTCTTCAGAAGAGGAGGCATGCTGTCTGTCCCCTGTCCCCACGTCCTGCTCTCTCCCCAGCACAGAACATTCTGACCCAACCTCAACTGTCCTTTCCGAGTCACCAGTGGCCTCCCAGCTGCCAAATCAGGGACACTTTCTAGTTTTTGCCTGAAAATCTGCTAATGCTGGTGTCCTGAGCTGCACTGTCCTCCAGCTAAACCTGAAACCCCACCTCCTGGCTCTTCCCTGGGTACCCCCACCCTCCTCCCAGGCCAGCATCTTGAGATCTCACTGGACCCCCACCCTCAATCTTATCTCACTCCAGCACATCCTGAAACGGGCCCCCCACCCTATTCCCGGCCCTGGCCGGGCGCAGTCATCCTTCCTGGTTGAAGCCCACCCCTCCCGGAACCAAGCCTGTCGCTGGGCTGTCAAGCGCACAGGCCAGGCCCTCGACACGTCACACCGAGCTCTGCGGGGCGGCCAGCGACAGGCGGGCTCCTCCCTCAGGCCGCTCCTGCGAGTGCATCGTCTTACCTGACACCCTGTGCGGCTCTTCCTCCAGGACTCAGCCAGGAGGCCTCCTCACCAGGAGAGCAGGTGCCCGAGCCCTGAGCCAACCTCGCAGACCGGCCCCAGGAGCGACAGCCACCTGCTCGCGGCCCGGCCACCCGGAGCGCAGGCCCCACGTGCCCACCTTGCACACAGGGACGGGGCAGACGGCTGAACACGGGTCTGCTAAACCCGGAGGCTTCAGCTTCTAATTTTTGCTAAGACACACTGTACAACGTCTTCAGATAAAACTTCCGCACAGGAGAAGGTGTGTATGCCCTTAAAGAGACACAGCTGCCTCCAGTCGGTGGGGCCCAGGGTGTGGGTCAGCGGCTCCACAGCGGTGAGCGCTGGGCCGCTCAGCGCAGCCTTTCTGGAACACGTGCGCCCCTGTGACCGCAGGCAGCCCCGCCAAACTGTACACTCACGCGTGGTTAAAGCCGTACGTTTTAGGCATATTTCAGCACAACAAAAAAATTTAAATGTTAAAGCAAAAAGCCCAAAACACACTTCATGGAAATATCAAGAGCCTCACGCTCCCTGCCGTGTTTGAAGCTGGCATAAATGCAGTGCATCTCCCCAGCTGCTCAATTTAAAGGCAAATCTCAACTCACGAAGAGATTAGAGTTACCACCTCGGGCACCCGGCCTCCCTGACAACTCTCATCACCTTTGAGATACCGCATTTACTCCGCACTGGGCCCAAGGCACAGAGGGTCCCAGTGGCCTCTGCTGCGCTGTCGGTGACCTGCTCAGTCGCCAGGAGGCAGGTGAGCGAGGGGTTAAGGAACGTGCACCAGTATCTCCGGCCTGCGGGAAGGCCTCGGCCCTGCGCAGCAGACTTCAAAGCAGAGGCCCGGCTGGTTTGAGTTAAGGCCCCCTCTTCCCCGACAAGCCTCCGAGCCCAGGAGAAAGTGCCGCTGAGTCTGGGTTTCATTAGGGGCGGTTTTCTTATCTCTTCTTCATCTTGGCCTGATCTCCTGAAATGCAACGAGGCAGGCATGGGTCTGAGCACAAGGTGCTGCCTTGAAGGCGTGCGTCGTCCCGGGCGGGGGGAGCGGTTCCCGGAGGCAGGAAAATGGGTCCTGACCCTCCTTCCCCCACCGATCGATGCCCAGGGAACCGTAAGCTGTAAACTTCAAAGTGCTACTTTACATTAAAATCAATAATGAAAAAAAGGACCCTGAAACAATTTTCCTTTTCAAAGAGGCTGTTTCAGCTTTCATTTGATGGAGCATCATCATGTACGCACTTGGCAAAAGATTAAAACGGAGCGTCAGCAGCGACTCGGAGTGAAAGCTTTGTCTAAAAGGCGGGAGGGAGTCGGGGTGAGGGGCGGCAGCCCGGGGACCCGTGATCAGAGGCCCAGGGCCCCCCGAGACAGGACCCGGGGGCCAATTCAGCTGGAACCTGGCCCGAAAGAAAGAAGTGGCCTGCAGGAGGAGAGAACCACCCATTTTGATCACTTTAAGTCAGTTCAGGGAAAGTCCACCTTATCTGCCGACACCAGAATCAGCCGTGCTGGGACCCTCCCCCAGCCCCAGCCCCGGCCCCGGCCCCGGGGCCCCAGGGCTCACTGGAGGACTGCCCACGCCTCCCACGGCAGGCGCCCAGACACGTCATCTCCCAGGAAGCCCCGAAGAAGGCCGGCTCTCGGGGGGACGTGACACAGTGTTGGTGGCCCGAGGGCCTCCCGGGGACAGGCAGTGACAACCCCGACCAGTGACAGTGGTGCCAGATTTCCTGAAGCTGATGTTTGCCTGTGTTCACGAGCAGATTTCAGGTGTGGTGTCAGTCTGGGGGAGCCCCTCCCCCTTAAAAAATGAGGGCAAATGTCAAAACTACAGTATATCTGATCCAGAGGAAGAAGAAATGACACAATTAAACCAGAGATGGGAGGAAACAGTGGTTCAGGTGGAGACCAGGCAGGTCTCCTAAGGAGGGGATGGACGCCGCTTAGCGCAGACCAGTGCCACCGTCTGGTCGCTGACCGCGTCGGAGCTGCCGCTTCTGGGGGCTGAGAGCCCGGGGGAGGGGCCTCACGTCGGGGAGCCACACTCGAGTCCAGGCCTTCACGTGACAGACCCAGGAGTCCCCTGAGGCTGGGGACCAGGGTTGGGTTTCGAGATGAGGAAGCAGAGGCTGCGAGGGTCCCGTGACCTCTGCAGGCCCCCACAGAGCATGCAGAAGAGTCCACGGCCAAACTGCCACGGGCGTGTCCACTGATGGAGTCACAGCCACGCGCACATCACCCACAGACACAGGTGCACACACGCCTGCACGCGCGTGCTTTGTACTTAGACACAGCAGGACAACAAGAACATGGAGTTCAAGAGGGAGGGAGAGCGGTCCCCAGGAACGGCACGGGGCTCCAGGGCCACATGCAGGGATGGCGTTTCTACCAGAGACAGGAGGTCTGGCACGCTTCGGCCCTCACGGGGCCTCCAGTGCCCGCGCTCGGGCCGGGGAGCCCTCGGGCCACTTGCCCCTCGGGGACAGGAGGGAGCTCTGTCTCCAACAGGCAGAAACCTGCGCCCAGAGCCCCTGTCTTTGGCCGCAGGAATCCCTTCAGTCTGGCCCAGATCAAAGTCGATCACCATTTGATGACAAAAGCAAACGCCATGTTGTAAAAAATTTCCCTGCAGCTCGACTCTGACGCCAGCGGAACGCAGAGGAAGCAGGATGCCCGGGGAGATGCCTCCTGAGCTTTATGTCAAAACAGGAGGGTGTTTATTTCTGTTTCTCATTATGTCACAGAAGGTTTATTGGGAGAAAAGTTAAGAGATTAGGAACCTTCAGAATCGAGCGCCCGCTTTTCTCTAACGTGACACCTGGTGACACCTCGCCTCGGCCTCCCTCACTTCTTACCATCAGGACCCGGGGCAAATTCCTGTTTCTTATTTAAAGCACAAGACGGAGACACTGCAGCCGGAAGGCACACAGACAGCCTGGAAGATGCCACCTCTGGCTGCAAGAACCAGCTCTGAGGAGCCCCAGCGCCCATTCCTCCCGATGCAGAGACGGGAAGTCAGTCTCCACAGGTGCACGCTGAGGGCGCGCTCGCAGAGGAAGAGCTAGGTCACAGTGGGGCAGGCCCTGCCCGGGCCTGAGCCTGGTCCTGTGAATGCCTCGGGAGGGGAGCCAGCACCTCACCTGAAGGCCGCCAGATACTCTGCGTCTCCCATGGGGGGGTCAAGGCCGCCGGTGAAAGCCATGTTGACGTTGAAGCCCACGCCCGGGCCTGCGCCCACCTGCACGAGGAGAGAAACGCTGTCGTAGACCCCGACTCCAGTGGCGCAGGCCGGGCCCTGGCTCTGCGGCCCTGCAGGGTGCGTCCCTGGCCTGTCCCGGCCCCTGCCGCCCCTGCCACACTGCCTTCAATGACAGCGTGTTTGCAGAGCACATGTGGCACTGCGGGGAGCCGCCTGCCCGGGCACAGGGCAGGGACCCGGCCGTGCGTGTGGGCGGGCAGCTCTGGGCTGTGGGTGCCGGCAGAGGGCAACCAGAAACGTCAGCAAGACAGGCTGTCCTTCCCAACCTCCTTCTGAGAATGAGACCCAGCGGCTGACACAGTTTTTCCACGGGTGGCGTTCCCCACCATCAGGCCTCTTGGTTCAGAGTGGGGGGCTCTGCTGGGGCACTGGGGTGTCGTGGAGGAGCCTGCTGCTCTGGGCTCACCTGTGGTACCTGCTGGGCAGGTCTGGACCAGCACCGAGGGATGCGACAAGAGGCAAAGCCTGAGATGCAGTTTTAGCTGCATGAAGCAGCCTTCCTGGAGGATGGAGGGCACCCCTGCTCACCTGCTCACAAACACGCAGTCTGCCCAGACCAGAGACAGGATGGTCTCCAGTCTCCCATTTGTACGTCAGACAAAACAAAGCCCAGGGAGGGCACGAGTGACGGGATCCGGGCTGAGGCCTGCCTCCAGTCCCGGAGGCCTGCAGGTGTGGGCCGCACCTGCCCCGCCCTGGCGGCCCCGCCCATCTCCCCGGCGTGCGGGTGGCACTCACCTCGTCAGGCGCCCCGCTGCCCGGGAAGAAGTTTCCATCATCGTAGCGGTGCAGGGAGATGTACAGGACGCTGGGGTCGCTGTAGAAGGCCTGCTGGGTCCCGTTCCCATGGTGCACGTCCTGGAAGGGCAGGGAGGGCGGGCTCAGCGCCAGCCCTAGGCCCAGAGGAACCAGCACATCCAGCCGCGCAGTGCGGGGCGAGCAGGAAGGGCCCGCGGCGAAGGCATCAGGTGCGTGCAGGGCCGTGTGCGTGCTTTCCGCGGACGTGCCCCCAGCTCATGTGGCCTCAGCCTCCAAGGGCCCCTCAACCTCTGCCACCAGCGCCTGCTGCCTGGAGCGTGGCGGTGTCCCGGGCTGTGTTTTGGTTTTTTTCTCACAAACCGAGAAGGACTCTGCAGCATCAAAGGTAACCCCACCTGATGTACCTGCCTTTCTTTAACTTGAATAGTTTATGAAACATATCACAAACACCAAAACAGATGCCCTGCCGCATACGGCTGAAAAAGGCGCAGTCAGCACCTCGGACACCACCCCCCAGTACGAGGCTCCGTACACCCACTTTTGCGGTTCGGTTATTCCGAGTCATTTTTCGGAGTTAGCCCTCTGGGGCAGTGGGGCTGTCAGGAGCGGCCCCTCCAACAGGAAAATGGGGGAGGAGGTCAAGCCGGCACAGACCGGGTCCCCCTGCAGGGGCAGGACGGGCGTTTGGAGCAAAACTGCCTGGGGGGCAGAGGCATGGGGGCAGCCAGGGAGAGGGTGGCCAGGCCCTCAGACCGTGCAGGTCAGGCCTCACTACCTGCCCTACCCCGCCTTCCCGCTGGGCTTCGCCGAGGACCACCCCCTCCCTTCGGCTGCTGCCCTCAACCACGACCTGTCTCTCGACATTTCAGAAACCAGTGATTGGCAGGATTGGCTGGGTGGAGCTGTAAGACAGTCTCCTAAAAGGTCTGGGCTTTGATTTTCTGCATCTTCAGGGTAGTTTCCAGAAAGCTGAGGTCCTGAAATCCAACTGCAGGGGAGGCAGGAGGGCCGGTGCCTCTCCCCCTGCACCGGACTGTCTGCTGGGAATACAGTCATGCCGGCAGCCCCCTTCCCGGGAGCGGCCCCTCACCCAGTCGACGACGAGGGTCTTGGTCACATTCAGCCTTTGCTGGAGGAGCTTGGCTGCGATGGCCACGGAGTTGAAGTAGCAGAACCCCCTGCAGGTACAAATCAGGAGAAATGGGGGAAAAGATACGGGTTTTGATTAGTTTTTATACAACCTGCCATAGAACATTCCAGAATCCCATGAGGTCTAAGAAGGTCTGGTGAATGCACGTTTCCTGATCAAGCAGTTAGGAAACCTTATCTGACGCTTATAATCGACAGACAGGCAGACAGACACGCAGTCCCCGCAGGCAGGCACCCAGTGCTCCCAAGGTGACAGAGCCCACTTCGCTCTGTCACTCTCAGCAGGCCCCCAGGACACTTACTGACTGGCCTCCCCCGAGACACGCTGGCCCACAGAACATAGAAGTCACTTATTTTGTTTGCTCACTGCTTAACTGTCCATGTTCTAGGACGTGCAATAATGCTTCTCGAGGGTCCTCGAGAGAGCGAGGGAACAAGCTGAGAAAGTGCGTCAAGGGACGTGGAACTCCCCTAAGCCCAAACGTCCCTTTGCCTGAATTTCCAATGGGGCCAGGCACTGGGGTGGTTTCGTCTTCGGGATCCAGGCGAGCCTTCTGGAAGCCCTCGCGCCCAGCACGCACGACCCCTCCGGCCGTGCTGCCTCCACGGCTGTAAATGCTGTGGCCTCTGAAACCCCCGGGAGATCCCGGGGGACATTCCTCAGCCTCCCACCCCACCCACCCGTGCTCACGACACAGAACATCCAGCAACTCAGACTCTAGTTAGAAAGGTAACTCCAGAGAAATGCGACCATCAGCACCCGCCCCTCGGTGGCGCAGACCGATGGGGCCGGGGAATCGGCTACTCAGTTTCCTGGGGAGACTGCCCTTGGGCGTCACGGCTGGTCCCCCACGGCAAGGGGAGCCTCTGAAGCACGGCCCTGCAGCTGGCAGGTGGGATCTGAGGCGGCCGAGGAAACCCCGGCTTCCTGCTCCCACGGCTCCGCCCCTGCACCACCGGCTTGTCCCAGCGTCCCTGCCGCCTGACAGACCACTGCCTGCCCTTCCCGGCGCAGCCCCACGTCCCCGCCCTGACTTCCCCCAGCACGTGCTCTCCATCTCCGGTGCTCACGGCACGTTCCCTGGAGTGTTCCCTGTGCCCACTCGGCCACGGCGGCCGACCAAGCCTGCGTCCTGGCCCCAGTTGGGCCCGCCCCTGCGCTGGGTCTCCTCCGCCAGAACCTGCACGTCGTGCTGCTGCCTCAGCCAGCACCTCGTGCACGTGCACGGTCAGGGGCGTCCAGAGAGCTGATCCTGTGGGTCCTGACCTTGGGACTTCAGCCTCAGTCCCAAACCATAAGCAGCGCTACTCGCTGCGGGACAACTGAGGCTTCCTCTCCGAGGCTTTACAATGAGAAGATTTCTCCACACGAACTCCTGCTGGTGCCTGCCTTCATTCTGTGCACCCCTCCCTTCACCTCTTCACCAAACCAATCACCCCACCCTGGAGCTGCACGTTCGGCGACTTCCTGCTGGACCGGGGTCTCGGGAACCCTAGCCGTGCACACGTCACAGAAGGGGCCGACGAAGGGCGGCCCATCACCCTCTTCCCCAGAGCGCGGCCCAGCCCTTTGAGGAAGGGCTCAGACGCCCCGGGCCCCTGTGAGCGACCCTGTGTCTACTTACATGGGTGTGTTCTCCTCTGCGTGGTGGCCGGGGGGGCGGACCACAGCAAAGCCGTTCTGCACACGACACCGAAAGGTGGGGAGAGACAGGGAGGAAAGACTGGTTTCAGATCAGTAAGAAAATGACACAGACTGAACTTGAGCATGTTCGCAGTCTGCGTGAGAACGCGGTTTCCCGCTGCATCCCGGCACATGGACGCAGAACAGGACACAGGGCGGCTGTGAGCGTTGCCTTCTCCTAGAGGCCTCTTGGTGATCATAAGTTACTAAGATAAACCGTGAGCTCATCCCTGACTTTCGAGCTTTGACGGCCTGCCGGGAAGGCGGGGAATCTGGGTGGGAGAGGAAGGGGCACCCTGGGTCCCCTGACCATAACCAGCATCCGCAGAGAGCAACTTGGCAGGAACCGTGGATGCAGATGAAGAGAAAGGGGCTCGGCCGCCGCAGACGCACCCTGGTTTGGCCCTAACGTAAGCATCTCTGCTGTGGCTGCAGCTCAGTTTCCAGGGGACCGGGCAATGCGGAGAACAAGCACTGACATTTAGAAGAAAGCGCTCGGCAGCTGGAGAGGAGCTCACAGCCTCCCCAGGACCCATAGCCGCCTCTGCTTTGAAAGAACCATCTGCAAACCATCCTGCAGCCGCTCTACTAAGGGTGGTTTGGATCGGCATCCCTGGGTCTCACCGGCAACAGGAAGCTGTGTGGTCGAGGTTGGTAACAGAGCCCTGAGGGCCGGCTGACCGCGATGACCGGGCTGCGGGAAGCGGGCTCAGTCTGCTGCAGAGTGCAGTTCGCGGGGGGGCAGGGTGAGAGGCGCACTCAGAGGGAGCCCCACGTGGCACAGACATCACCCTGTTTCCACACAGGACCCCGTGCCTCGGTTCTGAGAGCGCAGATGCAGACCCCTGGGGGTCCCATTTTTCAAAGCAGTCCCAAGGCTGAATGTGCCTTTCCCGCCGAGCTGGCAGCTGCACCGACACTGTGAACGCGATGGTGGGGGCGCTGGGGCTGTGGCCAGCATGAGGCACGAGCCTGCCTATCTGAGGGGAAAAGGTAGCCCCACTGAGAGCGCCCTGATGGAGCAGGGAAACTGGCCCACGTCGTTAACCTGCAGCCTTGGACACACATCTCTGTAGCATCCAGGTGGAGAGAAGGGTAGGCGGGTAAATGACCAGCGGGGCTGTCAGCTCAGGGACCTGAGCTTCTGGGTGAGGTGAGAACTCGGGAGACCCGTCCTGGGAGCGGCCCAGCCCTTCCCGGCACGGAGGAGACCCTTCTGGTGACGGGGGTGGTGACACTCACAGCCTCAAAGATGAGTGACGTTTTGGATACTGTACAATAAACCGCGCCATGATTTGGAAGGCCCACACAGCCGGGGAGCCCCAACGCCCCGGCGACCAGCACACCACGCTGCAAACGTCAGGCCCGGAGAAGAGACCCGCTCAACGCGCAGCAGAAGGAGGAGCTCGCTGCCACTGTTCTAGGTTCCACGTGGCGACTCTTCTTCCCGAAACCATCCTTGTGGAATCCTGGTGTAGCCTCAAGGCTGAATGTCCGCAATTACCCGAGAAGGCTGTTACAACATGGCCCCGCTCCCAGTCCTGCCAGGGGGCGAGGCGAGAGGTTCCTCACGTCCTTCAGCCGGGCAACCAGAGGCGGGCGTGGACAGCAGAGTCCAGCTGAGCGCCTCAGCCAGGCATTCTTATGATTTTTAAGTTAGTAACTCTTTGAAAAGTCTGTTTTAATTTCTCATGAATGATCAATGCTGACGACATTACTCATAAAAACAAAAACTTTGAGGTTGTTCAACAATTTTTAAGATATTAAAGTGTCCCCAGGACCAAATTCATGGAGAATGGCTCCACTAATATGTATGTTTTCACAAGGGAGGGGAACGTTTCCTTGGATCCACTGGGTCCACGCTTACCCCCCAGCACAGCCGCTGCGAGCCCATCCAGACGGGAGAGCAGTGGGCCGTCACTCTCCCAGCTGGTCCCCTCCCAGAAGCCCCCCGCCCCCAGGGGTCCACACTGACCTTCAGCTCCCCCGTGGCCACCTTGAAGACCAGCTCCACCACGCAGCCCACGGCCAGGCGGGCCGCCCCCGATGAGTGCACCTCGTTCCAAATGGTGTCACTGTCCACCTGTGGAGACATCACGCCCACGTGAGGCTGGAGTGCTCGGTCACAGTCACTCCCGCCGGGCGGCCGGGCAGCTGGGGGTCCCTGTTGCCAGCGTCTGGAACCCAGGACGAGAGACCCTTGTCCCTTCTTGACTCATCACAGAACATACTCAGCTCACATTTGAGCTTACTTTTGTTTGGAAGACACACCCCCAAAAACTAAACAGAAAAACTGTGAACGCGCCAAAAATAGCACGCACGTGTTTTTATCCCCTTCTTTTATTTTCTTTTTTTTTTTGGTGGAGGGGAGGTAATTAGGTTTATTTATTTATTTGTTTTTTAGAGGAGGTACCAGGGAACGAGCCCAGGTTTTCACCCCCTTCTGAGGTGTCGTTTCTTCTCTCAGTTGCTCCAGCACACTGGGTGCTGAGTGCTGACGTCAAGGGTAGCGATGTCGAGACTGCCTAGTCCCCCCCCCCCCCCGTTTAGCTGCAACTGCAGCGGAGTCACAGCAACAATCACAAAAGCAACTGGAAGAAGAATTAGAATCAGAGGTCTCTCCAGATTGCAACTTGGTTTTATGCAGAACGTAAGTGGAAGCCCCAAGTGTGTGCCGGGCGCGTGGGGCGGTGAGGAGACTCAGGCGGGCTCTCTCGGACACGGCCTGGTGGACCACACACCACCGTCCGCCCAGACAGCTGTTCCCCTTCAAACAGAGAAACACGTGTGGCACAAACAGGTCAGGCGGTTTCTGTCTGCGCGCTGGTTTATTTATTTATTCGCATCAGATTGCTTTTTTTAAACTCTGGCTAACATGGGTAAGAAAGAGGACAGACAGACCTCGGTGGCTGGTTCTGGGGACAGCGGGGCTCCCGGGGGTCCTGGGAGCCGGAGATCAGGGGCCACCAAGAAGCAGGAGCCCCTGGCTCCATGTCAAGGGCGCTCACACTGTCAGGTCCAGGGCAGGGTGGGGCGCTGGTGCCTCGGCCACACACACTGGGGACTCACACGCCCTTCTTGGGGATGCCCGAGCCTGGGGAAGGCTCTAAGAAGCCGTGCAGCAAGTGACGGCTCGTTCACCTGGGACAGAGCCTGCCGGGCCCGTGCGAGAGCCCCTTCCCGCGTCGCCCTCTTCTGAGCACTGCACGTGTGGGGCTCCGACACGGAGGCGGAGCTGCACACGAGGGTCCCGCGCCCCCTTTCCCGGCTCAGCCGCGTCCAGGTGCACAGGCCCCTGCCCACCTGCCAGGCACCAATCATCACGTGGGGCGGGCGGATTTCTTTCCACGAAGTCTTGAAGCTTCATCTTCAAAGCCGATGATCTAAAATACACTCACGAGCGGTTCAAGCCGCTTCCTGCGGAGCGTCTGCGCCAGGGCTCTTCTTTTCAGTGACCAAACCGCTATTTGCTTTAAATAGTTTCCAAATGTCCAAAGAACACTCTGTGCTTCGCCCACTCTCCACAGCATTAATAGTCAACTTCAGAGAGTGGCTTCTGTTCTAAGTAACAGCGCGCTGCTACTCGCTGACGTGGCCGGCCCGTGGGAACACGCTGGGCCAGTTACTGCAGCCGAAGAACCAGTTCAGAAAAGTCCAAGCGAGAGCTGGCGGTGCGGGCGGTGCGGGCGGGCGGGGGGTCCCGTAGCGCCTGGGCCAGCGGGGAGGCCGCACCCCTGGGGACCGAAGGGCGTTGGGCAAAACTACTCAGATGTTTTCTCCTCAAAATGCAGTAATTTGGGTTTGAGGCTAAGTAACCAGAGCCCAAAGGGGAGCTGCTCTGACCCTTCACGTGCTTTGAAGGGTCTCTGTGCTCAGTGCTCCTTCTGCAGGACCCCCAGGGCCAGGAGTTCCTGTGACATCCCACCCAGAGTGAGGGACAGACCCCCAGCCCTGCCACGAGACTGCGGGCTGCCACTGTCTCCAGACACCCGACAAGACTTTCCACTGCTTTGGGGCCTAAGTCCTCCGGCTGCTGGCCACCAGCTCCCCACGGACCAACCTGGGATGGTCGGGTTGGAGCCCTGAGTCCCCGAAGTATGAGGCTCCAACTCCAAGGAGAGTTGGGGCGACCCGCAATGCGGGAGCTGGGACCACAGGAAGGAGCAAGTGTCCCGCAGTTCCGCACAGCGGAGGCCGGGGGCAGGCGAGGACGGACGGTGAGGGGAGGCCCCTCACGGAGGCTCACGGGGCGCACGGGGGTGGCCACACTGTGGGCATGCCGTGGGCCTTGGAAGCCACGGGGCCTGTGAGGGGCCGCCCCCGGGGCAGGGACCCGGCCAGGGGAGGGCTGGGAGGGCAATTCACCGACATCAAATCCTCAGTAAGGGGAAACTGGCATCAATGAGGAGCTGAGCAAAGTAGAAGCTTCTCTTACTGGGCTTGGGGAAGAAAGGAGAACGCCTGGAACGCCGTCACACACCCCAACGTCCGTTCAGGTGGCTCTCGGGAAGGGAGAAGCAGCTGTCCCTCCCGTCTCACCACTCGACCTGCGCCTTCCCGCCCACGCTCGGGCGCTGCGGCCCCCCCGCTGCCCGACACCCC